TTTTGGGCCATTTGGGGTGAGAGGGGGTTGGGGGTGGGAGGGGGTTAATTTCGAAGAGGAAAACAAAAAAAAATATAATGGGCCCGGCCCGGCCCGGACCGGACCCGGTGGTTACCCGGACCGGTCCCGGGTCCACCATTTCTGACCCGCCGGCCCACCCGGGCCTAGGCCCGACCCGGACCCGGCCCAGACCCGAGTCCATCCCTATTCCCTACTGACAACCATCAAGCTCGTTTTTATTTCCATGTCACCATTTGGACATTTTTAAAAGCAAAAGCAGAGAAGTGCTTAGCTTTTTAAAAGCATTTACAGACACTACATAACCAAATCGTACACCCTTTTTTTCATTCCAGACTTCAATCAGCCGAGAGCTTTTCCGACTTTTTCAAATAGGCTAGAAATCATGAACAGGTCCGAAACCAGATATACCCAACTACCCAAGTAAGATTCTGGGCAAGAGTATGTATGTATCCAGATCCGTATTACAAAACGTTTAAAACACTATTTAACCATATTCTACAAATACTAACAAAAACCAGTTCCATACACCGTTCACATCATAACAATACCGGCAGGCGGCAGCCTATTAGGTGCCTCATTAAAAAATTGCAAGAATAACATTATTTCCAGAATCAAGAACTCTTACAGACTCAACCTGAAACAGATTTAAGGGGATGAAGCTGGCCTACTCTTACAAGCTAATTTCATGATATCGCTAATAAATCAAAACTGATTCTCTCTCTCTCATGTCTTCTTCATGAGCCCGTAAACCCAAAGGCGAAAATTTACAGACCATAACAATAGAAATACATTATGGAAAATGAAAATAATTGGCCGATCATGCTGCTGTAGTTGTTTCAACGAAAAGCCACTTCAAGATCTTGACTTGATTCATCACCCATGAAAAACGAACCACCATAACAGAAAAAAAGAATATTATAGTAAATGAAAGTAGTTGCTCCTCAGGGAGTTTTAGTTGTTTCAGTTGCCCACTTCCACACTCTTACTTGCCCAGATTCATCACCAGTGAAAAACAAACCACCAGGACCAATCTCAATGCAACGTATTGCCTCTTTTGAGAAGATCTTCCCCCTCTCAAAAAACCTAAAATTCAAATAAGCTCAATAAAAAATAGGAGTAAAAATGAAGAAAGCCAGAATACAGAGAACAAACTTTGCCCAGCCTACTTACGATGGAAGATCATATGCACGAACTGTGTTGTCATTGCAAGAGCAAAGCAGTACAGGTTTAGCCTCAGCATCAAGCATTCCACACATAGCTAGCACTCCCTATTCACATAAATCAGAACTAGACATTCAATTCGCAATCAGAGATATGAACTCAGAAAAATAAAAAGCTTTAACATTAGCTATGCACAAGTACTTGGCAAATTAAAGAACTTAGCTTTAACAGGCATTCTAATTCGCATATTAAAGAACTTGACAAATGCAAAGTTGTAGATGAATGCTAACATTTATGAGGGTGGCCTTCCATCATTAATGCAAGAGCTTTAAAATTATAATAATGAACCCACCCAAACAGGAAGCTGTAAATGCGTTGACTAGAAAGTGAACTGTTTTTCCATTAGAGGATACATCTCCAAGTGACTCCAAGTTTAGGTATCACTAATACTTCTTCAAATCCAATTTCACTCCCACCATAGACATTAGCCGAGCAATGCAACAGAATAACAGGAAACCTTCTACCTCCGAGGATTGTTGTAAGTTAACAACGCTATCAGAACGAATTTCCGCCTTGTGGCCTTCCGAATAGTCTGGCAGAAATAAGTTCAAACAACCCCCAAACAGCCTCATATTTTGCACTCGTACAACATATGTGTTTGGCTGTAGCCTAATCTCAACAATGTGGGGAAGATTTTGACCAGGTCCTTGTGAAACATTCGGAATATTACCAATTTCAGAAGTGACACGCAGAACTCTACCAAAAATCGAGTTGAAGAATTCCATAGAACCTTTAGAAGCAACAGAAGCTGGACGTCCAAGAGAAACCGGAACTGCAGTTTAGCCATTTTCTCAATGGGTCATCCGGAAACCGTCTCTATGTGCTTTAATAGAGGGATAAGACTGCGTACATCCGACCCCCCTTTACCCCACCGTAGGTGGGAGCCTTTGCGGCACTGGGGTAATGATGATGATGATTTAAATTCAAGTTTTGTGACTAGAATTTTTAATGTAGTTTATAAATACTTCCTCCGTCCCGAAAAGGTTGGCCAAAGTTGACTTTCACGTGGATTAATAAAGTAAAAACTGTGTGGTTGAAATTTGTGCAGAGGATAGAGAATTAATTTTAGCCACATATTCCTTACTTTAAATGAAAATGGCAAATCTTTTTGGGACATCCAATAAAGGAAATTTGGCCAACCTTTTTGGGACGGAGGGAGTATGTAAATTTAAATTTCTAATTCTGATCTAAAAATTGTCAGGGAGATGTTTGTTTTATCATGGATCAAACTTCCAAATCTGCAACGTTTTTGGGACGGAGGGAGTATAAATATAAATAGCATAATAATAAATAACGCAAAATAGATAACTTAAAATGATAGTTCAATAGCATAAGTTGAAAGAAAGTACAGTATTGTTCGAAGGACAAAACAGTAAGTCACTGATGGACAAAATATGCATGCAAAACTATAATAAAAACATAGAACATGCTTAAATCTTAAGATTCGAAAGACATGTTTACTTCACAGGTTACTATACGATACTTTTTAAGAATTGTGTTTATAAGCGGCGCATAGAATAAGCAGTGTTATAAGCTCATGTTTACTTCACGGGATTTAAAACACCGTTTAACATTAAAATGTCCAAAATAACCCTGTACATATATAGACACACAAACATTCATGTATACACAAGTATATATAATACGTTAGGGCTTACTCCCTGCATGTGGCCCGTTATCCCCTACCCCTAAATGTACCCTTACCCCTGCCCCTGCCCCTAACCCCTTACCTCTGACCCCCTACCCATACCCCAACCCCCAACCATGACCGTACCCCCTACCCGTACCCCTCTCTTTCCTCCCCTCCCCTACCCCTTCCTCTACGGGTTCGGAATAGGGTTAGGGGTCAAGGGTAGGGGTATGATAGGGACACGGACAGAGGTAAGGGCAAAGGGTAAGGGTAAATGCGGAAACTGAAAAAACTTAAGTTGTCGCTTAATTAATACACGGGGGCGGTACGCATAGTAAGCGGCACTTTAAGCACCAATTTGGGTTAGTAAGCAGCTTTTTAAGCAGCATGTGTGTTTACTTCACATGTCTTACTAACCTAACTGTGTTTTTAACTGCGTAGTAAACACATCCTAAGTGTCTAACTAGTAATCATCAAAAGTAATATCATTATTCAGTGCATTATTATCTAAATTTATAATTTCATTCTAATTTCCATCTCCTTCCATATTGTGAGCTTCAGTCTTCCACATATGCTAGTAAACAAGCTGCTTTAAAAGGGCATACAGATTATAGAAAAAGATAGGGGCTGTTCAGTAGAAACAGTAAAAGAGTGGAAAATAGAAAAAACGGTGCAAAGAGCAGTCAAAGAAATAGAGATGAGAAACTTGTGGCTACTAGAGGACTGCTCTGTTATTGGTAAAACTGAAAAAATAAAAAAGGCACTGAGGCAGACTACTCTAAGTATTGTTCTGAAAGGGACGAACAGAGAAAGAAGACAAGAGTTCTGTATTTATTTATTTAAAAGAAAAAATATCGGAGAGGTCCAAACTGGGTTCCTCTTACACAACTTCTTAAAGAAGACACCTTCTACTGGGATTTGAAGGCAGGCCAGGCTTTTAAAGCATTGAAAAGAATCATGACTACTCTACCAGTACTAGCAACACCTGATTTCAACAAAATGTTTGTTGTGGAAACAGATGCCTCTGGGACAGGCTTGGGAGCAGTCCTAATGCAAGATGGAAGGCCTGTGGCTTATATGAGCAAGAAGTTATCACCAAGAAATCAGAATAGATCAGTTTATGAAAGGGAACTCATGGCAATTGTCCTAGCAATTCAGAAATGGAGGCCCTATTTGCTTGGCAGGGATTTTGAGGTTCACACTGATCAGAAAAGCCTGAAGTTCCTTACTGAACAAAGGCTAATGGGGGAGGAACAACAGAAGTGGACATCCAAATTATTAGGCTATAATTTTACAATCAAATACAAGCCTGGAGTGGAGAATAAGGCTGCAGATGCGTTACCAAGAAAGCAGACATTGCAGTCTTTATCAATAGTCAATTGCCAGGAATGGGATGGATTGGACGAAGAGTTAAGCAACGATCCTAAATGTCAAGAAATGATTCAGAAGGTGATTTCTTATCCAGATAAAAATAAGAACTTCCAGATTATCAAGGGTTTGTTATACTATAAAAGGAGGTTGGTGCTACCCAAAGAATCTCCCGGAGTCATCAAAATTCTGAAGGAGTATCATGACTCAGCAATGGGTGGACACTCTGGATACTTTAGAACTATGAAGAGGGTAGAAAACTTGTTCTATTGGCCTGGTATGAGGAATGATATAAAGAAATACGTTGAGGAGAGTATTACTTGCCAAACAAACAAATATCAGGCCCTTCAACTTAATGGTTTACTACAACCATTACCTATTCCAAGCAATATCTGGACAGATATCAGTAACGACTTTATTGGAGGGTTGCCTAAGTCTCAAGGGAAAGATATTATCTTAGTAGTGGTTGACAGGTTGACAAAATTTGCTCATTTCATGGCTCTGTCTCACCCTTTTAGTGCTAAAGAAGTGGCAGAAATATTCACCAAGGAAGTGGTTAAATTACATGGTTTCCCCAAAACCATTGTTAGTGACAGGGACAGTGTTTTTGAGCTCATTCTAGTCTGAACTTTTTAAGATGGCAGGAACTCAACTCTGATAGAAACCATAATATCACAGTAGAAAAATAGAATATTATTGATGAAGATTTCAGAGATTGAACTGGATTACAATGGCGTAGACAGAAAAAATAGAGAAGAACGGATATTGTTGAGACTGTTTGAGTCGTCTCCCACTCCCAAGCCTAATCCCAGATCCCAAATTTCTGCCTAACCCCCTCCTTCCTTCCTTCCCACTCTTATATAGTAATTATATCCTAACGGGCCAGCCCATATTCTATGACATGACCCAGAATCCTTATTTATACAATACCACACTTATTTAATATAAATCTATTACTAGTATTATTATTCTCTACAGCCCAGGGCCCTATCATATCTCCCCCCTTCAACAACCACCTTGTCCTCAAGGTGGGTGATAGGAGACATCCTTGATCTTCCACTTCATCTTCATCGTGGTGCCTCTACCTTCCCAGTATCTCACTGCTTTCTGAGCGGGGATCTTCAGCACTTTATCTTTCCAATTGACATATGTTTCTGCAGCATGGGATCTATCTGGTGAAGTTTCATTCTCTTCATTAACCTTCAAGCCTTCAATAGCCACAAACTTTTCCGTGCTTTCTTGAGGGTCCTCTGAGGTTCTCTTTTCTGAAACTATCAGTGTGCTGGATGCAAGATTGATGTAGCTCAACTCCAGGTCTGCAAACAGCCTCATGCAAACTTCTCCAATTTTCATCCACTTTTCTGTACGGCAACTAGTATCAATGACAGAATTACTTGTAATAGCAGGATTTGTTTCATAAAACTTCAACAGCTGACAGCAGTTGTGCACAGTAGTGTTGTCATGCGATTTCAGATTCTCTAACAGCCAAAGTCCCAAAGTCCCAAATCTGAGAATTTTTCTTCTTTCCTTTCCCCTATAGGCTCATTAATTAGAAGGCTATGCTCAACCACCAGAAGCTTTCTGAATGGTATAGTTGCTTTAGTCTCTTGAGAAACAATGTTGTGAGTCAATCCATTCTCAGCCATAGCAGAATTCGTGTTCATGTCGTGAACACCAGCATTCTCCTCTACCTGTATCTGCTCATCAGGGAGTACTGAACTAGAAAAAACTTCAACTCCCTTTGACACTTCACTCATTGACCTAAGATTGACAGTAACATTTTCAGAAGTAGCATGATAAACTTTACCCAAAACCGAGTTGAAGGATTCCATAGCACTTCGAGAAGCTTCAGAAACTGAATGTCCCGACGAAGCATGAGCTGCAGCAACCATAGTCCTAATAGGCAGTACCAGAACCTCCACACCCCTAGTGGTAGAATTTCGAATACCTTCAGTGCCACGTTGATTGTAACTTTTATCATTAGGAACACTAGGATCAGCTTGCCCCAGATTCTGCGAAGCCATTGCAAGTGGGGACGGTTGAGTTGTATCATTTTTCGAGTCGGGTTCCATGATTGACTTTACAGCCGGCTTCCCGTCAGTGTTCTTTGTCGGTGGTGGACTCCCCAACAATCCATTCCATGATTTGACGAAGTCTACAGCTCTGGAAACGGATGCATCGGGTAAGAACGATGAAGCTGATGAGGCTAGAGCACTGTGAGATGCGGCTTGAGATGTCATATGTAAACTGGTAGAATTGGTTCGCATCTGCGAGCTGGGAGAATTGGTTCGCAACTACGAACTAGGAGAGACAACAAAAGATGATGCTGACTTCGAGGTCACCTGCGAACTAAGGACATCTGTTCGCGAAGAAGCTGAAGTGCTTGAGATGACATCTGCGAACCGTGAGAAGAAATTCGCGATTGCGAACTATGAGATGGAGTTCGCGGAGTCGCCCGACAGCTGGAAGGAAGTGCTTGTGACTGAGAGGAAACCTGCGCACGCGAGGATGCCTGCGAACTAAGCGAAGCAGTTCGCTATTGCGAACTAGAAAGAGCAACAACGGAAGAAGACACCAGATTATTTTCAATCGGTCGACGGTGTCTAGGAGGGCTCCTGGCTCTGTCTCTATGTCGCTTGATTCTGTGAAGAATTTTGCCCAACTTATGGCGCATCTCCTTAGCCCAATCACTTTCAACCTTTTCCGCCATCTTCTCTCCTTTTCCGTGCGAAGTATCCTGATCGGATCTTCCATGCTCCCTGCATAGTTCCTTTCCGCCATGAGTAGACACACGCTCCTCAGTGTTCGCGCGCAAACCAGAGGCGATCACTTTCCGTTCTGTCCTTAGATATTCCTTGCGCTGCTCCATTTTTTTATCACGTGACTTAGATGGAAGCTTCCCAGGACAACTGCTTTGATACCAATGATAGAAACCAGAATATCACAGTAGAAAAATAGAATATTATTGATGAAGATTTCAGAGATTAAACTGGATTACAATCGCGTAGACAGAAAAAATAGAGAAGAACGGATATTGTTGAGACTGTTCGAATCGTCTCCCACTCCCAAGCCTAATCCCAGATCCCAAATTTCTGCCTAACCCCCTCCTTCCTTCCTTCCCACTCTTATATAGTAATTATATCCTAACGGGCCAGCCCATATTCTATGACATGGCCCAGAATCCTTATTTATACAATACCACACCTATTTAATATAAATCTATTACTAGTATTATTATTCTCTACAGCCCAGGGCCCTATCAAACTCAGGTATAGCACAGCATACCACCCTCAGACTGATGGTCAACAGGTGCTTGGAGACTTACTTAAGATGCCTAACAGGAAGAAAGCCTAAGCAGTGGAGTCAGTGGTTGCATTGGGCTGAATTCTGGTATAACACAAATTATCATACATTTTTTAAACAAACACCTTACAAAGCATTGTTTGACAAGACCCACCTGCAGTAATTAGAGGAGATGTGACACTAACTGCTATGGAGGAAGTGTCTAGATTTACTGCTCAGAGTAATGTTATGTTAGATGAATTAAAGGGGAACCTCACTAAAGCTCAGAATTTTATGCAGCAGCAAGCTAACAAGCATAGAAGGGATGTACAGATGAACATTGGGGATCAGGTGTATCTGAAAATCCAACCTTACAAGCTCAAGAGTTTGGCTTAGAGAATAAATCAGAAGTTGAGCCCAAGATATTATGGACCATTTGAAATCATTTAGAAGATTAGTTTTGTAGTCTACAAGCTTAAACTGCCAGAAGACAGTAAAATACACCCTGTATTTCATGCCTACTTACTTAAGAAAGTGATATCACTTACTACCTCTTATCAACCTCTACCTAAATGCTTAAATGAAGAGTTGGAGCTGCAGGTGATACCTGAGAAAGTGATGGATGTTAGGGTGAATCAAGAAGGAAAGGTAGAAGTTCTGATACATTGGAAAAATCTACCAAGTTTTGAAGACTCCTGGGAACTTCTGCAGATGATGAAAGACCAATTCCCAGATTTTCACCTTGAGGACAAGGTGAATTTCCAGGGGGAGTATTGATAGGCATGTGGATGATCAACCTACTGAATATTTTAAAAGAGTCTATCAAAGAAGGAATGAGAGGGTAGTTAGTTAGTTAGTTAACAAAATTAGTTAGCTAACTGTTGACATCCCTGCGTGGATGATAGCTATAATTAGAAGGTGGATAGCTAAATAAGGCAGGCTGTTATTTCGGTTGAGAATTGGCTTGGAGATTAGGCATCTCGAATTGTCTTTGGCACTGTACACCTTCTTTGATCTTCCCTACTTCAATAAACACTTGTTGATTTTATCTTAGATTGATTCATCGAGATTTTCTACTGTTCTATATCGATCCATACCAGTGTTCTATCACTGAGCGACTCAGAGGCGTAAGCCTCACCCAGCTTTTACAAAAATGCTACCATGGTGTAGAAGGTTAGTGCACTTAAGTAGACGAATTAGAATAATCATAGAGCAAAGAGGTTATTAATGCTTACATGTTCTTCCTGGTGGGTGTATGTCACTTCCAAGCTCCCATTCTCACTAGTGACCCAGACTTTAACTGTTTTGTCCAGAGAACATGATAAAAGAAATTGGTCCCAACAAAGAACAGACATCACAACGCTGGTGTGCCCCGTCAAAACCTGTAGGCACTGCAAACTTTCAAGGCTCCATACCTGATGACAGAAAAACGATGGAAGCCAATATATGAGATGGTAGTGCAATTGAGAAGCAAACAGCCAAACATGAGAAAAATACTTGAAAAGCTCTTTCAAAACAGTTGGAGGTGACATACTCTTATAGTATTGTCCATAGAACCCGAATACAGCCTATTGGCTCCTACAACCAGTGTCACGACATGATTAGTGTGTCCGCTAAGAGATGCAGCTGGCTCAAAACAGTTGGTTGTGACATTATATTTCCACACTAGTATCCCATTCTGCAGGCCATTAATAGTTCTTGTTCAAATTATGAGAAAGGCACTTGATTTTAATGTCAAATCATGTGCAAATTACCTCTGTACCAGCGAAGAGCATATCGTAACCCACAACAAGGGCATAAACTTGCCCAACTGGACCAGTTAAATTCAGATCTGCTTCTGTTTGAGCATTCCACGCCTGAACAAACAGTAGGAAACTGTAACAAGTTAACCTTAAATTAACATCTTTCAGCCTGTAACCTGAACTTTTTATAATACTTCATGCAGAACACATTTTAATGATAATGCAGAAGGTAAGAGAATATGTTGTGCTACCCACTAAGGTTACCTTGACAAGATTGGTAAGCCCAACAAAAACCCATGGCCCTTCGCTTAGCATACAGCCCACTTCACCATTTAATGTGACAACACCTGCACACTATCAAGGCCAAAAGAATACAGCAGTTATTTGACTATTGTCACCCCGTTTGCAAGATATGTAGGGGCACCAAAATGATAATTAGTCCTCAGCACTTCGTATCTTTTTTTGCAAAGAAAAAGTATCATATAAAGAAGGGAAAAGTAAATTAAATATCTCAAACTTTGAAGGAGTGTGAGATAAGTACCCCAAACTTGCACATGCAATATACATACCACAAACTTTATATAAAAAGTTATGTTAGCACTACGATCATATATTTTTTTATAAATGTAATTTCTATAGTGTTAAGTTCATAATTCAAAATACACAAAACATTTATGAGGATGCAATTAAAATTAAATTGTACCGAATGTAATATTATTTATTTCACAAATGAAATATTAGAATGAAATTTTAGAATGTTATAAATTCTAATAAAGCTTAGAGTATTTTAAATTAAGTAATTATTCAAATAAATTTGTATTTGTAAAAAAAAACATACAATCATGGTGCGAAAGACTTCACTATTTTTTAAGTAACTGTTTGCGCTTCTTTGTTATGAAGCATCAGTCAATCCATGCAATTCTCGACGCGATTTTCATGATGGGCCATCAGGAAACAGTCTCTATGCTTAAGTATAGGGGTAAGGCAGCGTATATCCAACCCCTGACCCCACCGTAGGTGGAAGCCTTTGCGGCATTGCGGTAATGTTGTTGTTTTTGTAAAGAAGCAAAATATAGGCCCCTAATTATATATGTTGCAAGAATGTATTGCAAAAGTTTCATTGTCAAAAATAAAATTCGTTATACAAGTAAACAATTTTGTCCATAGAACTACTCGGTATCATAAGCCATACAAACAATTTTTAGGCATTCTTAGAAGCAAAATTGTCAATAATACTATTAATTTTTAACCCTTGACCTATGTGAGCTAGGAAGGTAGAAAGCCATCTGGTCGTGTTTCGTGTGTAGCTCTGCAGTTGTGGCTAAGTCTACAAATATGAAGATTGAGGGATATCTTTTACGGAGTATTAGAGTATGGGGAAATGATCTCGTCAGGCGCTCCTAATAAGATTTCCCGTACAGACAAGTCCATTTGAGGAGCTTCCCAATCGAATTTTTTCATAAAATTTTGCGAGGATGTTCTTCGTAAAGATTAGATTATTTACACAAAATTTCAGTTTCGAATTCAATTGAGAAGTTAGTTAAATGAATTATTGAAAAACACTGTGCTTTTTAAACATATATAAAGCACACTGATTTTCAATAATTTATTTAGCACACTTCCAAATTGAATTTTAAGCTAAAATTGTGTGGGCGTAATCTACACTTAATGAAAAATATGCTCCCAAACTTTCATCAAACAATTTCATCCAGAAGTACCTCAAATGGGCTTGGCCATACAAAACTCCCGATCAAGCAGGCCTGAGTGAACAGGACTCAATATATATATATATATATATATATATATACTAAATAATTTGTGGGACCCTCTTCTTGGTGGGCCCTGGGCAGCCGCCCAACCTGCCCCTATATCAGGACCGGCCCTGGAAGCAAAATGAAACTCAGTAGCAATGGAGTTTTCTCAGTCATATGAACTATGCAGCCTACACCGCAAGGAACCAACCAAAACAACAACTACCTATTTTAATATCCCCCTATCAATCGACAATCATAATGAGAAAATTTTGAAGATGGGAACGGAATAATATAATAACCTGTCCCGATAGGCAATCCCATACTCTTACAGTCTTATCTGTACTTCCTGAATACATCTTATCTGAACCAGTAGGTAAAGCAATTCCACAAACAACCTGTTGCGTAAGCCATGGAATTAGCCAACCAGCATCAACATGGACATTGATAGACAAATATAATAATCTCAATTAATACAAGGATAGAAAACACACAAATCACGCCAAGATGAGAACATGTACCAAAAAAGTAGAAGAATAAAGTACACAGTGCTATTCATTTATCATCAATTACAAATAATTGTTTAACACCTTATGATGTCCTTCAAGGTGCTTCAACAACCAAAAGCAATTCCCTGTACTCCATGAATGCAAGAACCTGCAGTTATCTGCGAACTTACAACTCCCATTAACCCAGTAATTACAAACTTTCTCAGTCTTCGTCACAGCTCTAGTGGTGTTGCTGCCGCTATGCGCCGGCGTTCTGCCCCAATTGTTATTGTAATTCGTATTCCTCCTCACTCCGCCCCCGTAATCGTCTGAATACCCATGGGAACGCTTCGAAGATGTCGTACTGTTATTATTCAAAGATGCATGCGGCTGATGCGGCTGATGCGGCTGAGGTGGCTGAGGCAATTCTCTGTGCAAGTACGGGCACGAGAATCTATTGCACCGACCCGCTCTCCAATGGAAGCAAACTTTGGGCTGTTTACTTCCGTTGTCTCCTTGGGAAGGACCGAGGCGCTGGAATATCCGCTTGCTTCCATCAATATCCATTTAGCCGCCAGGTTATAACACGTGTGATCACAAAGGCCGCACCAAAAGATATGAGAGCAGGGCCTGATCACGAGAAGACCCGACTGAACTTAGGATGGAGATCAATATCCCAAATTCGCGCACGAACTTAAAAATATCGAAAGATATCTAAAAGGTCTGATTTTAGGGTTTCTGAGATGATGCAAACCCTTATTCTTCAACTTCCAAGATAGGGATCAGAACTCCAGATAGGAGGGGTTTCGCCGGAGAGAAGTGAGCAACCGACGGAATTAGGATAAGCTCGGGTTGAAGAAACATAAGTTTTTGCAAGATCGGATTTACTCAATCCTATTTATTTGATGATGAAATTAGAACAGAGCTTACCTGCGTATAAATTGTCAGAACGAATACTCCGTACTAAATTGAGATATCACAACATTCACAAGCACGGGTAGCCCGTTGAGCGATGGGAAAATTGGCAGTAGGGGCCAAAAGGGGGTTTTCAGAATCTGAAATAAGGCTTGTCCTCTGGTGCGCACGAGTAAAGGTCTACTGTCGCTTTGCTGACTGAGTCCCCGTGATTAGCCTCCTCATCATCTTGTCGGATTGGGGTGGGGGGCCTTGAGGTTGGGCATTCAATCTTTTGGACGTAGATATCACAACATTCAGATTGGGGGTAAAATTACAAAAAGGATCACGGGCAACCGCCGTCTCTCGAACCATACTTAGACCCAATCACCTCCAAAAATCAATATAACTAGCTGATCTTATAATGGCCATAAATGAGCCAACGACGATTAAATCAGATCTCCCATCACTCAATCCTAATGCAAGAGTCTTACAACAATAAAAGTAACCAACAGAAAAATAAACAGTTTGATCATGAAAAAAATAGCAAGCAAATAGTAAAATTAAAATACTGCTTCCAAACCCTAAACTCTCTTGCACTCCATGGCGACGGTTCAGGAGGAGGATGATCCAACAGTAGTGTAGCTTCTTCCGCTCCTTGCCTCTGGTCCAGATCTATTCCAGACCCTAGCCCCATGCTTCGTCCATGACCTTCTGATCTCAACCATGACGGACATCCTCGAAACTCTCCACCTGATGTTGGGGGTACACAACCTTTGATCGCCATATAGGCGTTGCGGTATGCCGAATAATAGAGCCTCACGAAAGGTGGATGAAAGCCGCATAAGAAAGCCACACTTCGTCGAAGACGAAAGCGGAGAAAAACAACCCCTAAACTTAGGGGAGACGGCCGCCTAGAGACCTAGAGAGAGAAGCTCTCTTCGATAAAAGATTTGTTATGGTGAGACAAATTTCAAAATATTTTTTAAAAAAGCTTCTTAATAAATAAAATAATCAAAGTAAAACATATACATAATGTAAAATTTAATATATTGCATTTATTTAAAAACAAATGTAGTATTACTTAAATAAAGTTTATTTATAGAAATGAGACTAAAAATATAATTCGCTCTAAGGCTCTAACTACTTGAGGGGTTTTGGTTTGGGGTAATCTAACTAATCTCACATGAAAATCAAATCTGATATAATGAATGTTAAATGTCCATGTTTCGTACATGGAGTTGAGCAAGATTTTGGAAAAGTACATTTTCATGAATCTAATGTGGCAGAAATATGGAGAGAATGTTAAACTAATTTATGTCTTAGGAAGTGTTTACTTCGCTGCTAAAAATACAGTTAGGTTGGTATGACTGGTTAACTAAATAAACAGGATGCTTAAAACATGCCTACTAAGTCAAACATAAGCTTAAAGTGACGGTTACTAAACATATCACCCCTCGTGTATTAATTAGGCAACACTTTAACCTTTTTCAGTTTCCACGTTTACTCTTAACCCTTGCCTTTTTTTGATAAAATGTAAATATATATATCCAGAAATATAGCATAATACAATGCATCAAAAGGTATCAAAAAGAACTATCTAGGCTAGTAAGCTAACCTAAAATAGTATTTACCGTATCCCCCCACCCGCCTATCGACAGGGGTGAGGAGAGAGATTTTTCAAATCAAAACCCCAAACAAAGAATGACACGGGATAGGCCCCGGCTCATTCATAAAAAACGGTCAAAGTAATCAAAGGTGGATTGGCCCCGAAAAGTCAGCCCAGTAACAAGTCATAACCCTCTCGTAGGGGGCTATCCGTGAGCAAAGAAGCCCACATCCAGCAAGATAAAGTAACCATCGCACAGTCCACCCGGCCAGCAGCCCAGCCCGCACTTTGCTTTGAGGCCCATCCATGCTTTAGTCATATAACTAGCGCAACAAGATATTTGCCAAACCAAACCCAGCGGCTGAGGAAATCCATCTGCACGCTCCATCTCCAGCGAACCGGCCCAACACACCAGCTCAATCTCGTCCGAGCGCCACACGCGTCCGACAGCTGGGCTAGGGTTTCCATCGCTACCAATCCAGTGTCGCATCCACGGGTGGGAATCCAAATTCAAACATCTACAATGACAGACCAATCGTGTCAGACAGGCGGTCCAATCAGCGCAGAGGTTGACTCCTCACCAACCATTATGGTCTTCTTCTCCGGCGAAACACCGGTCGTCGATTTGCATCCTCTAAAAGAAAATCCCAAATCCATTCCTCGCACTCGAACCTTTACCCCCCCCCCCCCCCACCCGCCCCACCCCTGCCTAGTTCCGGCAACACCCAGGCAGCAACGGTTGGAGAAGTTAGAACCCACCTGACCAAACAAAACCAGTGGTGCCCTGATAACCCAAATCATCTAGTTAGTCCTCCTCTCGTCTTCATCAGGCCCTCTGTGGGTCCCTGGGCCCCTTAAGCAATATCGGGCACTACCAGGGAGCTCACCAGCACATGTAGAACCCATTTACAACCAATCCAGCCCGATGCTTTCGCTCTGAACGAGTGCTGGCAACGAGGAGTGGAGCGACGACCGAACTGTAAGAGCTCTAATACCAGCCCAGTCCTTGGTTTGACCATCCGCATCACGACGACTACTAACCTGTGACTCAACCAAACCGAAGCTTAATCAAAGCGCTCACCGTCGCTAGACTAAGGAGTAATCACACCCCTACAGACGCAGATTCTAATGCCATTACAGATGGGATAAAGCTATGGAGTGCCATCTGTTATGGGTCGTCGTTATTCTCACAAACCAATAAAATGAAGGAGAGAAGGCCATCAGAAAATGGGAATTAGCCTAACCTTAGTTTTGGGAGTATCTTAAACCACAACTTCACCTTGAAACACCCCTGAACCAGTCTCTTCCGACCAATCACCATGAATACAATCGCAAGCCATCCAGAATTTCAGTTGCACACCAGACCACCCACCATCACCTTTTCGTCTCTAATTCATCCCTCCCACGATCGTCAATCAGCGATGGCTATGAATCTAGCAACCCCAGGTGTCGTTTACAACCACAACCAGCAGGTTCTTTGTAAGGAGATAACCAGTTCCAGCATTTCGTCAGTTCCACCATGAAATCCTCGAACAATCAAAGCACCAAATAACCCATGAACATCCCACCAGAGTGGGAATTTTTCCAAAATTCATAACTTCGAACGGCCCCCAGCCCACTGGAGCCATGAGGGCTCCGACACCGGCGACCACCGCGAGTGATGGTGCCGGAAGTGTAGTAGAGCAACCTAGAAAAATTCTAGTGAGAGAAACAGCTCTCAACTCTCACTACCTCGGTCAGGCGTTTTACCCCTCGCCCTTACGGATATGGGTAGGGGTACGAGTGGGGGGTACGGGGTAAGGTCGGGTAAAGGTGGTAGGCAGTAGGGGGTAGGCTCCCACGTACTATATACACTTGTGTATACATGAACGTTTGTGTGTCTATATATGTATGAGATTATTTTGGACATTTTAATGTAAAACGGCGTTTTAAATCATGTGAAGTAAACATTAGCATATAGCGCTGCTTATTTTAAGCGGCCGCAAGTCTTTATAAGCATCACTTGGTAACCTGTGAAGTAAACAATCCTTACTGTATCTGATGACATTTCGAGGGATATCTTAATTTTCTTCCAAAATTATCTCTTTTTAATTAATTTCTTTTCGACTCTTCCATCTTCAGTTCGAAGCTAAAATATTTCTCACCATATTTTCATCTTCATCTTATGTCAATAGACTTTTAGTACTACTACACCTCTGCCCCACTAAAAGATTCTCATCTACTATTATCCAGTTAACCTAAATTGTTCTTAATCTTTTACTTTATACATTCAACTTTTAGCAAAATTGGTTTTTTATGAATTTATAGAACTTTTAATGTAATTTCTGAATGTAGAAATTCTATTTACTAGAAATAATCTTATTACTAACAAGAATCAGTTAACTTTATGGTTAGTCAAATATTGTAAATCGTGTGACGACCTTTAATTATTGATGGGGTATATTGTCACATATTTTAGGGGTATCAAACATTTACGATAACGGATTCCCAGAATCCATTAAGGCAAACTTCGACCGAGGCCGTGGTTGCCGAGGCTGAGCTCAAAACTGGTTCTCAGATCATCAAAATAAGTCCAAAATTGTAGCTGAGGTCGACTCTCGTCGAGGTTGGCGACAATTTCAGCACTATAGCATAGCTCCAGACCAACCACCGCTTTGTGAGCTTGCAAATCAATAAAGGCATTACTACTTCACGTTATGAGCCGAGGTTGCATATCTCTTAGCTAACACACTATATCCGAGCTTGACCTCTATCACCAGACATTCCAGCATTTGGATATCACAAACATTCAGGATTACGTCACTGTGTGATAGCTGTCCCAAGGCTAACGTTAATGGATTTGGTCACACATGCCAAATGCTAGGTTTACTCATGTGGCTTATCTAAACAGTGTGATACGCAAGGGCGAAATCCGGTACAACAATACAAATGGAGTATTTTGCCACATACCTCAGGGGTATCAATATTAATGATAAAGGGTCTCCATAATCCACCAAGTCAATTCCGGCCGAGGCTGAGCTTAAAACCAGTTCTCAGATCATCGAGATAAGTCGAAAATTGTATTTGAGACTGAGGGTCGATAAATATATCAATGTGGTCGAGCTCTAGGCCAATCACCGTACCACGAGACTAAAAGACTAACGAGAGCATTAATGTTTCACATTATGAGCCGATGTTGCCTTCCTCATTGGCTTATTACACTGCTCCCGAGCTTGAGCTCTCCAACCGAGCACAGGACCTCAAATAGTGATTGTGGACTTAAACATTTCATCAATTGGATTCCACAAACATGAAGGACTATGTCACCAATGTGACAGTTGTCGAGAGCTGACGTTATCCAGGCTTACACGTGTGGCTTATCTATGCATTCCAATACATAAAGGACAAAATTTTGTGCAACAATATCAATCAACCTGTTGTTGATCATTACCCAATTAGCTTTTACACGTGTCAATATCTTATTAGGATACTTATTTTTACTTATTGCCCATGTG